GGATGGAGATAGAGACAGAGACCCATATTGGAGCACTGGACTGAGCTTCTAAGGTCCAAATGAGGAGCAGAAGCAGGGAGAACATGAGCAAGGAAGTCAGGACCAAAAAGGTGTGCCCACCCACTGAGATTGGGGGGGCGGCTGCTGATCTAATGGGAGCTCACCAAGGCCAGCTGGACTGCAACTGAAGGAGCGTGTGATCAAACCGGACTCTCAGACTCTCAGAATGTGGCTGACAATGAGGGCTGACTGAGAAGCCAAGGACAATGGCACTGGGTTCTAATTCTACTGCATGTAGTGGCTTTGTGGGAGCCTAATCTCTTTGGATGCTCACCTTCTTAGATCTGGATGGAGCGGAGAGGACCTTGGACTTCTCACAGGGAAGGGAATCTTGACTGCTCTTTGGACTGGAGAGGGAGGTGAATGGGGAGCGGGAGGGAAATGGGAGGAGGTGGAGGTGGAAGTTTTTAATTAAAAAGAAGACTATATTTGAATGATTCTAACCATGAAACGTTTATATGAGGATTATATTTCTCTTATTTTTAATGACTTTTTATTCTTTGCTGCTGTTTTCCTCTATTGATATTTTTTGTCTTGGCAATAATTATTTTTAATTCCTATATTAAATATAAACTATGTATCTCAAATGAGAAACACTCAATGTCTCACATACTGGTCACTCACCCTGAGGTTCTCGTTTATTCTCTGCTTCAATAGATTGATGGATTGACTAATTAGCTACAAAGATCTGTGTCGAAAATTCAGTTCTGGTGAAAGCTGATAGTGTCTCAGCAGGAATAAGTGCTTATCTTCAGCATGTATCTGTAGAAGCAAGGTGCCCTGAACACATCTTCTCATTAAAATTACAGGACTGAAAATCCCCCAAGAGCTCCTAGTGGCAGTGTGAGTTCCCTGCATCCATAGTTGTTTTGCGCATGTCATCATGGATCATCTATCTCCAGATTTAAATTGTAATCAAGAAGATGAAGATTTGGGACCTCGTTTTAAGCTGAACACTGACCTAATTGGATGGCATTCCCTAAAAAAATTAACCTAATTTGTTGCTTTTTCACATCAAGTAAAAGAAAATTATTGTTACTTTACCTGACAACAATTCTGCATAAATATTACCATAACAAAAACATTCCAGGTTAGATGACAAGATGGCATGCATAGGTAGTTGGATCATATCTGTTTTGCTATTTGTCTACGAGATAAATCAATACTTGTATGAAGCTGGCAGTTCATATTTATTTTGGAGGCACATGAAATCTCCATAAGCCAGAAGTACTGAGTTGTACATTGCCTCAGTAAATTGGCATTCTTTACAATTAGAGAGGAAAGTGGTATGCTTGGAGTCTTTTATTTAGCTTAGGCATGAAGACTCACATAAATATGTGTATCTTGTAAGAAAAGTTTTAGTAAATTATACTTATTTTTTTATGAATGCTAAAATAAACAGCATTGGAATGTTATATTTCCAAATGAAAATTGAAGGACAAATATATCTCCATATATTGTTAAGTACATAGTAATTGAGCAAATTAATTAAGAAAATCAATAAAAAACTAAATAGAAAATAATGCTGCCATTTCTAACAACCATGATAAGATTTTTTTTAATAAACTAGAAACTCAAAAGTCTACAATGTTGATATAGGTAATCTAATAATGTTGAGTTCTAACAATGTATGACCATATTATTCAGCATATTATTTATGCTAAGGTTGAAGAGATGCCAAAGAAGATACTACAGAAACATGTTATTACATAAAGTGATATGATATGTTAGAATAGTGGACACTATCATTCACAGTAGTATGGCATTTTGAGTTATTTGCACACCCAGTTTAAAAAGAAAATTGCTGAATTCAGATAAAATTCTTTGGAGAAAAATTTAGAGATTTAAAGGGAATTTAGTGATGTCTAATGGAATACTTGAAGAAGATATGAGAAATTATTGCTAAAAGCACAATTTATAGGTGCTGGAGAGATTGCTCCATAAGTAAGAGCAACTTCGACATTGCTCCATAGGTAAGAGCACTCACAGTTTCATTTCTGTCTGTCACATGGCGGCTTCTGCAACAATTGCAGTGGTTCTAATTCTCTCTCCTGACCTCTGAAGGCACTGCATCCATGTGGCATATGTGTATATGTGTGTGTGCACATGAGTATAAACTACACTCTGCAATGTAGATAATACATTTTTTTTCTTTAAGAATTGTATGACTTTGTTTCAGAGTAGGCAACATTGTTCCTTCTAGCATAGTTAGTTGAGAAAATCTAAGCTCCTAGCAGCCCACAATCTCTGAATAATTTGCCTTCTTTAAAATTTATTAGAATTTAATCCATTAACAGTAAATGACTATCATTTCACTCTATTTCTTTTTTACTAATATTACCACATTCTTTCTGTGTGGTCCTCTCACCAATACTGTTGTTTTGTTGTTGTTAGATGGATAATAAGTAGTGAATTTTATCTCCTATTAAATGGAATAAAGCAAAACAAAATGAGAACCATAGTATAAAGGATCAAGTGTTACAAACTTGACCAATATCTGTAAGAATGCATCAAATTTCTTCTCGTTGGTCTCATAAACTGTAAAACACCTGTAGGCTTTTGTAGGTTTTCTCTTGACATTTTCTACTTTCAGTGAAAAGGAAACAATCTTTAGTCAATGACTGTTCTCAGCAAAACAAAAACAAGCACACTGCAAACTGATCACTCCTCTTAGTCAATTCACTCATTTTATCACAAATAGCTAAGAGGGGAATCATCTTCAACTACTAAGCTACTAGGTCATGGCTGAATTTTTCAATTACTCAGATAAACTAAGTACACTGGTTCAAATATTGTTCTTACATAATCCAAAAATGCAAACAAAGGGAAAATTATCTTTTCAAGAATTACACCTACTCTAAAAGTGGTGTGCTGCCTGTCTCTCTCCAATATGAAGTTTTGTGCTGTGGTTTTAAGCTGTGCATCATGGCAAAGAACCAGGAAGATCTGTAGGAGCTTTAACAATCACTCATCATGGCTTTTATGGCAATGCCAGTGGATGTTTTAGAATTAAATAACAGAAATGCCTTCTTCTTCTGCACTGTCTAGTAAATACTCTCTTGGCTCCCAAGTGAAATCAGTAAGCCCATGAGTTGCAGATTTTAAGCCTCGAATATTTTTTTGCAAAATATAAGTATTTTTTCATGCTTTCTCTGACCATGTAACGTGTTTATTCTAGTATGCTTTTAGTTCAGTCCTGCCGTGTGGCAGGATTTAAGATAAAAAGTTTGTACAGGATTAGTCACTACAAAATTTTGAGGTGAAAACGTCAATAATGAATCTAGGCAGCATTTTGAGTGCAAACATAGAAACCATTAGAGTTTCATAACATAAATATGAAGTTATTACCAATTGACTCTTATTATCAGCGGCAGCAGCAGCACCATTAAATAAGCCTGAGGAGTAATTTTAAGATGTATAATTACTTAACCAAGAATCAGGCATAAATAATTAACGTAATAATTAGTTGTTTATATTAAACTGTTTTATTTTACCTAACAATGTCGATTCATATGAATAACTTTAATCTCTGTTAATGCCTTGTCAGTCAATAGGTTATCTTAGTATAGTATGCTACTATATAATTATATATTTATTGAAATAATAACAGACATTTATATTCTTAATGTTTGGAAGCAATAAACAAAACAAAACAAAAATAAGAAAAGCAAATTCAAAGGCCTTGAAACTGTACTATTTGCTGAAAGGGGACTTCTTTCCTTCCAAAGTAATCAATAGTACGTAGTTCATCCTCTGATGGCACCAACATGGATCATACTGATTAAAAGGTAGAAGGAACAAAGGCTGTGTGCTGTTTATTTAGGTCACTTTCGAGCAAACAAATCTATCCATGGAGGCAGACTCCACATTACTTAATCAGTTCCAATGAAGGTTACATGTGTTAACACCATCACATTGAACTTTTTTTGTCAATACACAAATTTGGGGATACATTCAGACTACCATATAACCCAAAACTCAAAGTTTCCATTTCTGGGATTAACTACTCCTAGAATTCTCTAGTCAAAAGAGAATATATGTATAAAAAAATAGAAGACAAATAATAACTCCTTAGTTTCCAACACTGATGTATAATATAGTTTAATATATTTGAATTATAATATGTAAATAGAATATTCATTAGCCTGATTAAATATATTTTGGGGTGGTTTTGTTTTGACTCCATAGACCTACTTTACACAACATTGATATCCCTTAACCAGTTCCCATGTGAGTTTGGGTGATAATGAAAATATTTATGCTCAGCAATCATTAAGAACAATATTATCACAGAACAAAGTAAAAGAGCTTACTCAAAACTAAAGTCATTAAATTCATATATCTTATTTAGTAAAGTTATTTCCCATTTGGAGATGGATTAATAATTATAAAAACTCATTACATGTCTAATAACACATAAAATTAAATATATGAATTTTCATCTAGGTTAAGAGAAGAACAGAAGAGTTAAGGAAATTTTTGAATTAGATTACACTGAAGCTAATAGCATAAAGTCATGTTTGGTTTAATATAGAAACAATTATGCATAGAAATATATAAACTCACAATAGTATATTCTTGTATTTTTTTTGTATGTTCTCTTAGGTAAGAGAGTCTAGAATTGAAAACAGGCAATTGGTGTGGAAAGTCCTTCTGTTTATTTGTTGAGTTTTTTTGGTTAATGAACAAAGAAGCTGGCTTGGCTTGTGATAGGACAAAGTAGAGCTGGGTAGGCAAAACTAGACTAAATGCTGGGAGAAAGAAATCAGGGTCACAAGAAACTGTGTAGTCTCACCAGAGTCAGATGCAGGAAAGAACTTTGCCGGTAAGTCACAGCCATGTGGCGGCATAATACACAGATTAATAAGAATGGGTTAAATTAAGATATAAGAGCTAGAAAATAAGAAGATAGAGCTAATAGACCAAGTAGTGATTTAATTAATACAGTTTCTGTGTGCTTATTTCAGAGCTGAGCAGCTGGGAACAAACAAGCAGTCTCTGCCAACAAATAATAAGATGTCAAGATAATAAAAGATCTTGTTAAACATACCAGAAATGAGAAGAGTACAAAATAAAATACATTATTAAAAAAACTAAAATTTGTGGGGAAGTCAATTTTAAGGTAAACAATGAAGAGTGGTTATAAGTTACTTATAACTGTGGATAATTTTTGAAAGAAGCAACGTGTTATCGAAAGATAAAGTAGTGTAGGTTATGATGACTAAGAATGAACATCTCTGTTAACAAATAATTTGTCATGAAAATCATGATTTTGGTAATTCTGTTGAGCTTAATTTAACCAGGGAGTATACCTTCTCAGTATACTAGCAGATTATTTTTAAACATATTATAAAGAATGAAACTGGCTTCAACACCAAAGGGCTAGTAAACAGGCTATAGGAGATGACACAAGGAAACAAATAATATTAACTATATTCATATTAGCTATTACTATAATGAAATATTCTGTGATTGCAGAAGAATGAGAAATATAAAGAGGAAGTTTGAAGATTGAAAGAGCCAAAAACCCTGAAGACAGCTGTGAGACTGTTTCCATTTCTCCTATAATGACGAGTAAGCTACACCCTTGATATCTAAATAATATGGCTGCTTAAACCAGACCTGAAGAAACAGCTTTGTTTGGTAAAATAATAATATATGTGTATTTGTCCACATTGTTTATAAATAGTTTTATTGTAATGATATTTTGCTTGTGCTTTATGAAATAAAGCTTGCCTGAAGACTAGAGTGCAAAGATTTGCCCCTAGAGGCCAGGGAGTGGTAGCATATACCTTTAATACCAGTACCTGGAATTCCCAAGCCTTTAATTCCAGCACTAGGGAGGTGGAGACAGGAAGGGATATGGCCGAGTGGAGAAAGAAATGTAAGTCAGAAAATAGGAGCTCACTGCAATCTGAGGTTTGATGGAGACAGCTGCAGTCTGAGGATTGCCCTTGTAGTCTGAGGATGCAGTCTGATGAGACAGTCAGAGAATAGGATTGTCCTCTCTGTTTGAGCATTGACAGAGGTAAATGTCTCTTTAGCTGACTACACTGCTTCTCTGATCCTTCAGCTTTCACCACCTAATATATGTCTCCGGGCTGTATTTTTTAAGACAAATTAGAATTCATGCTACACCTGACCTTTGAGTTTTTGAGTTCCAAGCATGATGAATCTTGACCCTGCCCCTGAAAGAAGCCCTTAGACTGGTGTTTACTGTTGCAAAACCTCCCTTATAAGACAAACATTAATCAGTAACTGCAGAAGGGGTATCTATTAAACTATATATTAAAATATCACTAATTTAATTACCTTAGTTTATCATCTGATTATTGTTTTTTTTAAAAAAATCATACAATTCTAACTCTATAAAAAGTTGCGCCAAAGAACAGTGCAAACTTTTAGCAAATAGCTTATGGATCTCAGTATTTATACAGTAGGGATTAATGCATACAAATACACATAAACACACAGATACAGAAATTCATGCATACACACATTCTTACAAAATATTTAGATACATAAGTAATTTTTTTAAAAAGAGTGATATTTGTAAACCAATCTTACTAATCCAAGAGCTGATTTATTCCATGCTTCTAAACCAGTACTTCACTATAACTCTGCAAGCATTTCATTATTCATGACAAATATTTTATACAACTGAGGAACAGAAATAAGAAGTATATATTATTTAGGCTTGGAAGATGTAGTTCCATAAAATAGTGTTTCTTCCTTTAAATATTTCTTCCATTTATTTGACTATATTTATACTATTATTCTAGACAAATTTATTTCATGGATGCAATATGTCAGTAAAAACCAGAGCTATATGTTTTCAGCTGATCAGTATGAGAAAAGTTAGTTGTATTTGACATTAATTGAAAAAAAAATGAGTTAAGTATATGTGTTTGTTTCTGAATTATTACCTATGGTGAACCACTATTCCTAGAATTGATTGAGAGATACACAGCATGGCAGACTTCTCAATTATGAAAACTGAGAGGAAGCTCATTGAATTCTTCCAGAACAGGAAATAATTAGTTTAAGAATAGAATAGTAACAAGATGTGCCTGAATATGGACTTAAATTTTATTTCATAATATTTAGTTTTGACAACATATTTTAATTAATTGGTTGGGAATTTTATACAATGTACCCTAATCACACTCCTCTCCCATGCTCCCAGTTTCACTCTTTTACCCTTGTTCTCCTCCCCTGTCAAAATTCCAAACAAACAACAACAGAAATAATGTGGGATTTCCCTCTGTTTGCTTGTGATTACCATTAATGAATAGAGAAACTACTTTTGACCCATAGCAGGGCAGAACTTAACTAGGCAGGGGAAACTAAACTCAATTCTGGGAGAAAGAAGGAGGAGTCAGGAGAGAAGTCATGTAGCCCCACTAGAGATAGATACTGGAACTTTTCCTAGTAAGCCACAGCCACCTGGCAATATACAAATTAATAGAGATGGGTTAAATTAATACTTAAGCCAATAAGAAGCTAGAACTAATGGGCCAAACAGTGATTTAATTAATACAGTTTCTGTGTGACCATTTCAGGACTGAGCATCCGAGGACCAACAAGCAGCCTTCCTTATAACACAGAAAAGTTCAGTTTGTGCTGTCCTTAGTCTCATTAGAGCAAGGTCAACTCCCCAGAAGCAAGCCTCTTAAAGAGAACTAAATCCTTCCTTATCCCTGTACTCCTCCAACACCCCCACTCCTCCACCCCTCCTCTTTGCTACATCCCCCACCCTCAAGCCCATTCTTTCACTGTCTACCTCGTCATAAGTCATCAACTGGGTAGAACGACACATTAGTATCGTTATCACAATTGTAAGGGACTACCCATACTAACTGCATGTCTAGACTCCTTCAATCTTTGTGTATGTGTTTGTGTTTGTGTGTGTGTGTGTGTGTGTGTGTGTGTGTGTGTGTGTGTGTGTAGGGTGGAATTGGTTGGCACAGAAGCCTTTTCTCATTTTCAGTTATAACTCGATCATCATTGATACCACTGCAAAAAGAAAAAAATTACCTCCTTGTTCATAGCAGACAGAGGAAGCACAGATCATGGACGGTGAACAAGACACAGTCCTACTGGGAAGGAAAGGAGATCATTTTTATTCAATTCATCACACATGACAACCCCACAAATAAATAAATACAACAGGAAATCTTTAAAGTATTTCGTATCATCACAGCTCACTCTCACGATTAGGAAAAGGAGCAAATGAGGAAAACAGGAAAATGTGCTTTCCCACTGCAGCTCTAATATTTGCTTGCCCACACATTATCAAAGGATGAATTTTCTGATTTTTTGATGAGCCTAATTAAATTTCTCTCATATATTTTGATGCCAAATAGCTTTGATAGCTTCCTTTCCTAGGGATAAATTACCCTTTTATGGAAACTCCAGTGTCTTCCATTTATTACCCATTGGGATTTTGGAAGATATTTGTGTTGTATAAAACTCTAATAATCTGAGGGACCAGCAATTTGCTGCTTTACAACAGAGAGTAAACATATTACATCTCAAATGCTTGTGGCACTCACTTAAGTTGTTAAAAGCTGTTCAAAACAGCTTTATATTTGGGAAAGACATCTTTCATTTCCACTAATTTTGATTATTAAATGTTTTGCGCACTTCCCCATAGGATAGCATGCACTTTAATCTTCTAAAATTTACTGATATACATAATTTGTGTGTAGACTCAAATACTCTGATGTACATTTATAAATCGTTGCAACGGACTATTTTTTTTAAGGAGAAAAGTGTTTAAAAACAATTTTCTGTCCATTAATTAATTAGTGAATTAATCTCCTTTCACTGGCCAATATGTTGATGTTACATTAGTTCCTCCATAATTAATTATAAGTGTGGTCATGACTTGTCTACAGCATTCATTAATCCAAATACAGAAATTAGAGCCAATATTCCTATTAAAATAATCTTTCAGTCAGAAAATAAGTGAAATAATAAAAACTGCAAAAGTGTAAGCACATGATATCACATTACAGCTATAATTCAGTGGTAGGGCTTTTGTCTATCATCCATGAGGTCTTGAATTCAATCCTGAGTACCAATAAGCAAAATAAAACAAATTGAAACACAAACAGGCAATTTGAGGGCTTGGGAGATTTCTCAGTGGCAATTTCTTGTGCCTGGAAAGGATTAAGACCAGATTTCACTGTTTAGATTTCTAGTCCCCTACATCAAACCTTGTAGTTGTGGCCATTACCTATAATTTCAGCTCTCATAAGGCAGAGAAAGGAGAATTGTATGGAGTGTGGTAAAATAGACTAACTCAGCTAAAGCATGGTTCAGCAGAACTAGACCTTGTCTCAGCAAATAAACAGAAAAACAATTAATAAAGATGTTGCTTCAGCTCTGCTTGGGGCCTCCGTATGTGCACGCACATGCATGCCCCACCCCGACACACACACACATTCATGTTTGCCTGGATTCATAAACATGGATCCACACAAATATACACTGGGACCTACACATGTGACTACTGTGACTACACACATAGGAGTTCACATCTTATAAATGGACACATGCAAAACAAAATAATAGGATAATATGAAAAAGTATGCCAATATTATTCATAATATACAATTGTCACTGCATCATTTATATTAGAAATAGCAACTTAAGGTAAAAGTTTTTTCTCCACTTTTAAGACTTTAGACTCCATTTTCAAGAATTCACAAACTTAAGAGTTGTGAATTCCATTGTAATGGAAAATATTAAGCTCTAAGAGATTTCTAGTATGTTAAAACATTTATTTTGTCTTTTTCCTTTAATTAAAAAAACTTTTTTCTCACATAATATATCCTAATTATTGCCTCCATCCTCCACTCCTCCAGTCCCTCACCTCCCCCCCCCTTTCTGGACCCACCTCTTTTGTCTCTCCTAAGAAAACAGGGCACCAAGGCATCATAATTAAATATAATCTAAAAAATATGAAACAAAAGCTAACACATTATAATAGGACAAAAGAAACAAACAAAGGAAAAGGGACTAAGAAAGGGCACAAGAAACAGATATAGATTCAGAATCTAGTGGTTTCGACATTCAAGAATCCCATAAGCACTAAACTGAAAAATTATAACATGTTTGCATGGAACTTTAGGGTAAAAAGAGAGAAGAGCTCCCACTATCAGTGTTTGTAGATCGATATGTGATTTAAGATACAGTAATTCTTCTTATGTGAACTTGGGGGTCCTTGTGTTTGGTGCATGGAAGTCAAGAATTTCAGGGTACTCATCATACATTTTGTCTTTGACGAGTGTGTAGTATCCTTCCCGGCCATGTTTGGTTAGTTTTGGATTGAAGTCTAATTTGTCAGATATTAAAATGGCTACAACAGCATGCTTCTCATGCCCTTTTGTCTCAAATATCTTTTTATATCTTTTTACTCTAAGGTTATCTCTACCCTTGATGTTACTGTGTGTTTTCAGGGTCCAACAAAAAAGTGTATCCTGTTTCCGCATCCATTCTCTTTGTTTCTGTAGATTTTTTTTTGGGGGGGGAAGGGGCAGGGGGAGGGAATTGAGACCACTGGAGTTGAGAGATACGAATGAGTAGTATTATTGATTATCTCTTATTTTGTTGTTTATTGTTGTGGTGGTGATGGTGATGGTGGTAATGCCATGGTGTGTGTGTGTGTGTGTGTGTGTGTGTGTGTGTGTGTGTGTGTGTGAGTGTTTGTAGCATATAGGCATCTGGGTTTGGGAAGATGGTAATTCTAGGTGCTGATATCTCATCTTGTCTTTATTGGATGGGTGTTTTGCTTCTTAATTTCTTTTACACTCTCTGGATTTTAGGAGTCTTTGATGGCTATGTGTTTTCTGGTGAAAAATTCTGGGGCCCTGCTATATGTGCCACTGGGAGTTCTAGGTATTGGAAGCTTATCATCAGGAATGAAAGAGTTCTGGGTGGGGGAATTAAGGAGGTGTACCAAGGGTGTTCCACCAATATCTGCTTTGTTACTTATGAATAGTGGCAGAGAGTAAGGAGAAGTCACAAGCAGCAGTCTGGTACAGAGGTCAGGATGCGGCTAGGGGAATGGATTCTGGGAAGAGATGAGGGGTAAAAAGATGGGCTTAGTCAACTAGTTTCCCTGGCTGAAGTGACCTGTAAGAACTCTAGGGACCGCCTGCTGGAGTTGGAGGCTGGGGCAGTGAGAGGAATGTGGTCAAGGAAGATTGAAACATATGATCTATAGGATCCACTGGAGGCAGCAGAAGAGAAGGAAAGGCCAAAGCAGGTTGTATGCTGCAGAGCCGGGATAAGACTGGAGGAATGTGTTTGAAGGAGAGGAGAAAGGTAAGGATCTTCAATTAACCTATCTGCTTCAGTATGATTAATTGAGTTAATAATTTGCATTCTTCATAATTATTTGAAACAAACATACGTATCAATTAAGTATATTATTTATCAGATTATATTATCAAGATATTTTAATATATGTCAATGAATTTGAATATCAACCATTTTCTAAATAGACTGAATTTACTATTATAATTTTATTTTCAGGTAGCAAAATTATTATCAATAGTAAAATGCAACATCAGCTGTCTCTCTTAATTTCCTCAGGGAAGAAATATTTTTTTGTTTTTGTCAGCTAGACAACACATTCAATGTCAACATTTTGAAGGTTGTCAATAGTTGCTCAGAATTCCTTCTACTCTTTCTGGGTGAGACAATTTAATTCTTAAAAAACAACTTTTCCTGATCTGTTCATTAACTTTTATACTCAGCAGAATTATTTATATTAGCTTTTAGGATATGTTTTTCATCAGCTTTTACTTTCAGATATAATTATAAAACTAATCAATTGAATTTTGAATATCTGTTGGAAATTTCAGTTTATGTTATTAAGCTTTTCTTCCTAATATGCATTTGTACAACATACTTACGATTGCTTCAATTTAGCAAAATCATTTTGCTGCAATTACATATGCTGTTCCCTATCGATAAAGAAACTTCCTGGAGAACATGAACAAGGAAGTCAGGATCAGAGGGAACCTTCATCCGACGATGGATGGAGATAGAGACGGAGACCCACATTGGAGCACTGGACTGAGCCCCCAAGGTCCAAATGAGGAGCAGAAGGAGGGAAAACATGAGCAAGGATGTCAGGACCGCGAGGGGTGCGATCACCCACTGATACAAGGGGACTGATCTAATGAGAGCTCACCAAGGCCAGCTGGACTGGGACTGAACGAGCAAGTGATCAAACTGGATTCTCTGAATGTAGCTGGCACGGGGACTGTCTGAGAAGCCATCGATAATGGCACTGGGTTTTGTTTCGTCTGCACGTACTGGCTTTTTGGGATCCTAGTCTGATTGGATGCTCACCTTCCTAGACCTGGAGGGAGGGGGGAGGAACTTGAACTTCCCACAGGGCAGGAAACCCTGACTGCTCTTTGGACTGGAGAGGGAGGAGGAGAGGGAGTAGGGGGAGTTGGAGGGTTGGGAGGAGGGGCGGAAGTGGAAATTTTTATAAATTAATAAAAAAAAGAAACTTCCTGATAAACCTCGTATTTCTGAAAATATGAAATGCAATGACACACGAAGTACACATCAGCTATCCACAACACTGTGTTGCATCAGTTGTATCAGTTTTTAAAATGCTCCAAAGCCTGGTTGCCTAGGAACCTGTGCTTACTATCTCTGCCATGCACTATGGGAAAAAAGCATACTGCTGATCATCCCAGAGCTAGAAATAAAACATTGATATTTGAGGATTACTGAATGCATGCGGTTATATGTCAAGTCTGTTACCAACAGCCTGAGGCATGGTGCTTAGCAACATTTTACACATTAGTACAGATGGTTGAATTAGTCATATGAGTTTTTTGTAATAATTTTTCAACTCCCATGTTGAAAAATGGCAATAAATAGTTTCTATGAGCAGAACTTTGGCAGTCATTCTTCTTTAAGGAAATATAGATAAAAACACACATGATGGGAGAGCTTGTGTTAGGGAATGATGAAAGAAGACAGATTCAAGTCCAAAAATTGATAAACCACAGTCCAGAATCATGCTAACCTATGATTCTCCCCAGATTTATATCAATAATGTCTTTCTCATCAAGTTTTTTAGCTACATAAATCTTATATGCTCTGGTAATGGATTTAATGAAAAAGAAAAAGCCATGGTTGACATTTAGAAAAAAGAACTCAACAATGTCCTGTATTTTTGATTGAGAAAATAATTACTTCCTGTAAGCTGAACTTTCACTAGAATTTCCTTTTCTATGAATACCACTAGAGGAAATTCTTGAATAGCCATCATGATAAAAATGATTGTTAAGTACAGGGCCAAACTTTGTACTTTGTATTGGTTGGGCACAGAAGCAAGGGCTGCTACTTTCAAACATTAATAACTCCTTAAATTGCACATTAAAATTCCATCATATAAATTTATTATTTAAAGCTAAAATAAATTTAATATTATCTGTAAAGCAACTATTATAGAGACTTAATGGATTTCTTAATGGGATAGCATGCAAGCATTCTATATATGGTATAGAATTCTAATTAGAATGAAAGGTTTGAGAATCAGCCAACATATAAGAAGATTATTCTAGTGATGATTTTATATTTTCAAAACATTGAAAATTTACAAACTATACAACTTCATTTAATGCTATTCTTTTTAATATGTATATCATGTATTAGAATTTCATTGTATGTGTGTTGTGTCTTTCAAATGTTAAATAATTAATATATAGTTATAAAATTCAACTCAATTTGTTGTGGACATTTTATTAATATTTCTGGTTTTTAAAAGTCTGTACTAGCATGTGCAAGGGACATATTTGGGGTAGGTTTTCAATGTGCAATATGGCATGCAGGAATGTGGCAAGAAGCCCAGTTTGAACATGGATTGTAGTGTCTGAACTATGATCCTCATGGTTGCACAATTGTTCTTAACTAGTGAGTGAATTCTCTAGCCAATACTTTTATATCTTATTGATCGTCTAATTTATTTTGATTTATATTATATTACTTTCACCAGTAAATATAAGAACATTTCTTAATGATATTGACTAAGTTTCTTCGTGATACATATTTACTTGTAAGTATTTGTTACAAATGTATCACTGCATTTAGATTTCATTTGTTTAATTTTATTTGCAAATATTCTTTTCTATAAAGAGTAGAAGTGAATGAAATACTTTTGGCTCCAAGGAAAATAACTGTAGACTCTATTATTTTGATTGATTGATTAATTGTTTGATTTTACATCCTGACCACAGTTTTCTTTATCCTCTCCTCTCATTCCCCCCACCTCCCTTTTATCCTCCATCTGCTCCTCCTCTCTTTCAGTTAAGAAAGGGAAGGCTTCCAAGGTTATCAATAAAGCATGGCACATCAAGTTACAGTAGAATTAAGTGCCTCCCCTCTTGACAGATTTCTGTCCCACCATTCAACTCTGTCCCTCCATCCAGCTCCCAAATAGCCATACAGAGTCCTATTATTAATTTTAAATGCTCATCTGAAAGCTTCATCTTTTTGCTTTTAGTTCTTACATCTTAAATTAACCAATACGTCGTATCTATGCTCTACTTAATAGTGGTACCTTTTCTCAACACAACATGTGAATCTCCTGTTTCCTCTGTGGCTGGCGATTCTACCCTCCTTATTTCCACAGTTCTCCCAGTCTGACTCTCGCACCTAAACTCTCCCTGCCTTGCTATGGGTTAATTATTCCTTTATTAAAGCAATGAGAGCCATATATATTCACAATGTACAAAAGGGTTATTTTATAGCACCCCGCTTGTACTAAGGCTGGGCAAAGCATTCTAGTATGACAAATAGATTTCCAAGAAACTCCACAGAAACGACTAACCCAACTCTATCATTTTAGCCTCACATCAATGCTTTGGAGTCTCATCATTGTGAAGGGTCAATCTTTTCTTACCGGTTTCTTCTTTATCCTCCAGTATCTACCTATAAAAGATACCATGACTTCGTTATGTGCAACAACTATTCTCTTTCAAGTTGCTAAAACAGAAAACCTCAGTGAGCAAACAGTTTTGGGAGTGACTCAAAGCTAAGAGAAGAAGTGCCCGCAGGACCCACTTAGTTGGTCCCTGGGTCAGAAACACTGTAGGAACTGGGCTAGTTAGAACCTCTTCTTTTATTACTTTGTATTAGTAAAATCTAATGAATTAAATTTGTTTATTTTTTCTTTTTTTCTTTTATTAAATTTACTTATTTATTTATTTATAAGAATTTCCACTTTCTCCCCTCCTCCCAATACCCTCCCTCTCCCCCCACTCCCACTCCTCCTCCCTCTCCAGTCCCAAGAGCAGTCAGGGTTTTCTGCCCTCTGGGAAGTCCAAGTTCCTCCCACCTCCCTCCAGGTCCAGGAAGGTGAGCATCCAAACAGACCAGTATCCCAAAAAGCCAGTACATGCAGACGAAATAAGACCCAGTGCCATTGTCAATGGCTTCTCAGTCAGCCCCCATGTCAGCCACATTCAGAGAATCCTGTTTGATTACATGCTCGTTCAGTCTCAGTCCAGTTGGCCTTGGTGAGCTCTCATTCGATTAGTCCCCTTGTATCAGTGGGTGATTGCCCTCCTCGCGGTCCTGGCTTCCTTGTTCATGTTCTCCCTCCTTCTGCTCCTCATTTTGACTTTGGGGGCTCAGTCCAGTGCTCCAGTGTGCATCTCTGTCTCTATCCCCATCTACCGTTGGATGAAGGTTCCCTCTGGTTCTGCCTTCCTTGCTCACGTTCTCCCTCCCTCTGCTTTTCATTTGTACCTAGGGAGTTAAGTCCAGTGTTCCAATATGTGTCTCTGTCTCTATCTCCATCCATCGCCATATGAAGGTTCTGTGGTGACATGCAAAATATTTATCAGTATGGATATGGGCCAAGACCAGTTCAGGCACCATCTCCTCTGCTGCCCAGGGAACAATCTGGGGACCTCTCCTTGGGCCTGGGAACCCATCCAGAATCAAGTCTCTTGAAAACCCTAAAATACCTCCCTTAGTTGAGATATGTACTTCCCTGCTCCCATAACCATCCTTCCTCCCTTCCCCCCTCCCATTCCCCCAAGCCATCCCCAATCCTCCCCCTCTCCTCGCTCCCTAACCATCTCCCCTTACTTCCACAATTTGAGTTCAGATAAACTGAAATGCAACTGCAATTTCAAAAAGTTTTATAGTAAATTATTATTTTAATAATAGTTTCATGGAAATCCTAAGGCAGTGGTATTGTCCTCTTTATTTTTAAGATTTATTTATTTATTATGTAGACAATGGTCTGTCTGTCTTTATGTTTGCAGGCCTAAAGAGGGTACCA